CGTTAGTCGCCAGCTGGCTCCCGAACGCAAAAGTCAATTTCGAGCCCTGACGTAAACCACCAACGTAAAATTTAAACGCTCTCTTGACAAACAGTAATAACTGTACGCTATTATTGAACATCGAATGAAAGTACAGACATGAAACATACGCTCTACAAGGATTGTGACTAGATTTTGTCTTATCAAGGTCTCTGTCCGATCATATTCTGCAAGGGGAAAAGCCCTAAGTACCAAAGTAAATACAAACCGGGAGTGAACGCGACGTCTGTGACCATCATTGCACTCTGCACTATCTGAGACTGTCTCACTAGTTTTTTCTTGATCCGAAGCACAAGTGTGACATGAAACGAACATTACAATGTCTACAGTGGCCTCAAAGTCGTCGACAATGTACTGAATAGTGTTGAGGGGTGTTTAGATTTTCACAAATTTGGCAGAGAAGCGCACTCAGAATACGTTTGCTCGACGATTGTAAGTGATTCAGCGACACGCGAACGAATAGAATCAACAGAAAGTTTTCAAACAGGATAGTTATTCCACGACTTCCGCTTTCCGTTCTTCCGCGAATGCACTCATGTCTCAGAACACAACTGCTCGCTATGAATGACCAGGGGCAGCAAAACGGATCGTTTCGGTAAATTATCTGTTCGAAAGACCTTTAATCCCCTCTGATTTTCTTACGAGAATTGTCATCTAGAACTTTCGTGATATGAGAGATTTAACGTCTGTTGTTTTCGGATTGTTCAAAATGTCGTTTTGAGTACCGAAAAAAGGTCAGCTATCATTTTCGGAAAGGCGATATAAAGACTGGATAAGACCTAAGATTTTCGGGAAATGGACAAAAAAGCCCTAATAAATTTGAGAATACTCAAGTCCCCCTAGAATAACTGAACAGATAAATTTTTTTAGCGCAATATAGCATTAACCTAAAGAGCTTTAAGACTGAGTACTCCAGATAGCCTAAAACAGCGTTTAAAAGCATTCGAGAGAAAACGGTCGTTGGGTGCCCCTGAATGACTGATCAGCCATGTTTCAGATCATCTACATTGAAGTAAAGCCTACTGACAAATTAAAGACCACTATAAAATTTAAATTAAAGAACTTCTTTCCTGCTACGGGGGCTTTACAGCGCTACAGAATTCCGTTTGTCATATGAATGTGCTTATAAGATTGCGTTTTGTAATTTCTCTTCGTATCCCGCTTACTTCAACATTAAAGTTTATCCTATAACCATACCTGTAAAACCCTGTTCTACGTTTGCAGTCGATTCGCAGTTAATACAAATCAACAGTGGTCCACTGAAGAGATGTTTTTCAGTATCCCTGCATGGAACGAAACAGATAGTCAAAAGGTTGACCCATCACCGGGACCCATCACTGCGAATCCCGTCTAATCACGCGAACAATTCTCAATGTTAAAGCGGTCTTTCCTTACCTATGGTCTGTTTGGTCTCGTTAAATGTTTTTATGCAAACAGAAACGATTCAAGGATCTTCTAGAATCAACTCATATCTATCCATGCACTGAAAAGCGAAATCCGAGCAGAAAGGCGTATTCTGAAGATACAGTTTCTGAAATGATCACGAGACAGCAGCTGCTTCACGAGATCAGAATCACTCAAGTGGACAGTTAACAGATCATGACAACTAAGATCCGGGCTACCGTCAAATGTCACTCTAAAATTCTCAGATTGCACGCTTATTGTCCTTATTCAAGCCCTTGCCAGGATAATTACATTCTGTCCACAACCGTTTGTTTTATAGCCTGCGAACGCAGACGTATTTCCGGCTGTCACTTGGTTCCGCCGAAAAAAAAACGTCTGCGATCCCGAGCCAGAAAACGATTTCTGTGACGCAGGAATTCTGAGCCAATCACAGTTTAACTCAAATAACCCCAGAACTACTGCGCGAGGTATTCGCTGCGAGGAGCACTTGAGTTTCATTCTATCATGGAATCTGATTGGCCAAGGAGAAACAAAAGTCATTACGTCACAGAAATCGTTTCCTGGCTCGGGTTTGCAGACGTTATTTTTCGGCGGAACCAAGTGACAGCCGGAAATACGTCTGCGTTCGCAGGCTATTTGTTTTATTATTTCCTCGAGTTTTTTTTCAAGCGCGTGCGAAGAAGAGCTAGAAGAGCGACCACCACCTTGCATTTTGCCATGTTCCTGTACCTCGCGGTTAATATTTTGTTTTTGCGATCTCGACAAATTCAAGACAAAATTGAGGGTCTGTGGACAGAATAGTATAATTATAAAGCTAAGACGGGCTCTAGTCCTTAGATAAATACCGATATTAATCTGTTGCACGCCTTTCACGTCATAGTTTCGGGTTTGTTTTCCATGAATTTATAGCAAAAGAAATCCTTTAACCATTTTGACCAGATTATTTAAATTAGTATAGGTTTCGAGTTCAATTTGGAATTAATTTGCACGAGTGAGTTTTTCAAAAAGCTGAAATTACACGAGCCGCTTCGGCGGTCCTGCCTCGTTTTGATGATGAGCGGGAGTTTTCCCGGAAAAATCAATTTTGGTTTCGCAGAAAACGAAAGCGCCTGGATAGAGGTAAACAGAAGATAGTGACATTACTGCCGTAAACTGCAAGGAAACCGATCTAAGCAACATCAATCGCTTTTATTTTGTACCTGCCATGAGTTATTCAAGAACGTACAGACGTTCAAATGGTGTTGACATGAACCAAACGAACATAAATGCAAGGCAGAGAGCAGGCCATGGAGGAACCGAGACCGGGGAAGGAAGCAATGAAGAAGTAGATCAAATACATACAGAAATATCGAAGCAAGAGAGGCAAGATTGCTATAGAGTCTATAATATCTTATAACCTGATTGCAAACAGATCAGATCAGCGTTGTCGATCTGCCTGTTCGCAACTTCCGTGGAAAAATTTCCGAGTTTACGGTTGATTTATGGATACTTCTTGCAGGAGAGATGGGTTTACCATGTTCA